TTAAATCATTGTGCACATCAGCCTCCTCTTTTTCTCTGGGGCTTTACCATACGTTCCATAAATTTCCTGTCCCCTTGGCCTTCCTCTCCACCTTTCACCACTTCCCACCCTTGCCTACTGCCAAGCAGATTCTTTGGCACTGAGGGAATCATCATTCATGCACTTAATCGCTCCACCAGATGATCTGAATGTCTGTGCCTGAAGCAAAAGTGAGTGCCAGAGGTATAAACATGGACCAGAGTACTTGTGAGTGAACAGTCCACATCCTGGTGTGAGAAACAGAAACGGAAGTCGTCATGCCATAATTTGATAACTGCTTTAAAAGATCTGTGATGGGCAGAGATAACCATTCTGCTTTGGGAGGATGGAGAAGTTTCTTGAAGTCTACAATTCTTGATTTGCGTGTTGAAGAAGTGAAGGCCAAGGAAAGTTTCAGCCAGAAGAAACAACGAGTGCACAATCTTAGACTTGCAAGTATTTGACACACAAGCTTCCTGGTGGGCAGGGAGGCTGCAGGGAGATGTAATAGCACTAACAACAACGTGTGGATGTGACATTCAAAGGTAAAACATCTGGCCTCCCTTCTGAATTTTAAAATGGAAGGTATCTTTGAGCTCCTATAGATTAACCTCTCACTTTAGAAGATAAAGAAACAGGGGCTTAGGGCACTTAATAACTCATTCAAGGAAGGACCAGGGGCACTCTTTCCTGACTCCCTTTTTGTGGCCTCCAGCCACAGCTCCTAGTGCCTACTTGGAAAATTGGTCCTAGGAAGCCTGGAAATTGGGCCTTTCAAAGTTCACCCAGGGACCTGAGTTTGATTTCTGGTAAAAAAATAAATAAATAAATAAATTTTTTTAAAAAATCAAAGCTCAGGGCTGGGGATTTAGCTCAGTGGTTCTGCCACATGCCTCACAAGTGCAAGGACCTGAGTTCGATCCCCAGTACCAAAAAAAAAAAAAAAAAAAAAAAAAAAAAAATTAAAAAAAAAAAAAAAAAAAAAAAAAAAAAAAAAAAAATCAAAGCTCCACCTAGTAGACACACTGTGAAGTTTAGATCTATAGTCCTGTGTCATTAAAGTTGTATTGATTTGACTTTTTTCTTTGTGTTCAGGATTGAACCCAGGACCTGTGCTACCCAAGTGCTCTACTACTGAGCTATACCCCAGCCCTAACTTTGACAAATATTTCATATATATATTATTAGGTTTAAACACTACTTAAAGGAGAGTCTATTGGTTTCTTGCTTCTGCTCAAAAAAGTTGCCATAAATATGGTGATAACACATTTCAAGAGGCCAAAATCTGGAATCAGTTTTTGTGGCCTGTGGTCAAGGTGTTGGCAGGACCAGTTCCTTCTCAGAGCTCCAGGGGAGAAGTCCTTCCCAGACTGTTCCATTTTGAGGGGTAGGAGGTAGGGAAGTGGGGATGCGACAGAAGTGTTTTCCAAGTCAAAGAAGTAGTTAATGGTAGATTAGCAATTAGAATTTAGCTGTCCTCGTCTTCCTATTGTCATTTGGAGTTAGCTATATCTATACTTACCTGTTTGTTTTTGAATCAGGGCCTTTGAATCTAGGAGCATTGAGCTATACTGCCAGCTTTCATTTTTTATTTTGCAGTAGGGTCTTGCTAAGTGGTTTATGCTAGCTTCACATTTGTGATCCTCTTGCTTCATTCTTCTGAGTAGCTGGGATTACAGTCATATACCCCTACTCCTAGTTTCTACAGATTCTTTTAGTTATTGTTTTTGTTTGAGACAGGGTCTCATTATGTAGTTCAGGCTGGTCTTGGACTCACTATGTAGGCCAGGCTGGCCTTGACCTCAGGGTGATCCTCCTGCCTCAGCCTCCCAAGTGATGGGATTACAGATGTGTGCCAACATGCTCAGCTGCTTCTATAGATTTTTTTTTTTTTTTTTGGTACCGGGGATTGAACTCGGGTCCTTGCACTTGCAAGGCAGGTGCAGCACCACAGAGCTAAATTTCCGGCCCAGCTTCTATAGATTCTTAATGATCAAGAAAACAATCTTTGATATGACTGGGTCGGAGCATGACAAAATTGCACTGAATTTAACTGAATTCCACTGGTGCTGCTATGAATATGGGTTGAATTAAAATTCCCTAGTAAGGAAACCTCTAGGGAAAAAAAGCCATGTTAGCCACTTTTAGAAAATTGTGTAAAATTTCCCCATTTCATAACAGCATTAACATTTAAAAAGTGAGTGACAATTTAGAAGACAAACAGTTACTATGTGCTCAGAACTTGACTTCCTGGGAGTAGCACAGACTAAAAAGACAAAGCCCTCTTCAGCAGGTCAGACTCTAAAATTAGACCATGAGTAAAATGCATAGGGTGCAATGTTCATTTTGTACTGTGAAGCACTGCAAGCTAGAAGTTTTGTCTGGTGTGATATGTCCTGTTTTACTGAAAAGCTGCTTTTCATTGTCTAGGCAAAACAAACAATTCCAACATAATTGACAAAATTTACACTACATTCTATGAATTAAGAAAGCATAAACAGTACACAGCTTCAGTCCTAATGTCAGTGCTGCATTAGAAGATGATTCATTCCTCCCAGGCTTTCCTGGTGTAGGCAAAGATGTGCAGGACACAACACCCTCTGGACAGCTTTATGATGCTGTGCAAGGAAGCAACTCCGTTTGTGACCCCCACTCCATCTTGTGCTGAGGTGGCCTGCTGAGCTTGCTGAGAGGCCAAAAGAAAGGTTTTGTTGGAGAAGGAACAGCCTAAGGGTCCTACAGATTCTGTTTCCTAGACCAATGGATTGGTGTAAGCTGTTCTCTGCTGGACCCATGAGTGAGCTACAGAAATACGTTTTTCTGCCAGTCATTATTTTCGTGTCTGCAATTTATTCAAATGGTATTTTTTTTTGTATAGTTGAAAAATTTTTTTCATAATAACGTAGAGTGAGGGAAAGAAATGGCATCTTTTAAGAGTTCTAGGCCAAGAGCTCTATGAAGAACTAAGCAGTAACTTAATCTTCCCCTTGGGTTTGCAGTGCTGCTACTTTTAAACAATTTTTTGCTGTTGCACACCAGGTATTATCCAGCTTGTGCAGTCTCAGCCCCACCCAGGGCAGCTTTTAATCTCTTAAGTCAATAAAATTCACCAACAGCAAGTTAGCCTGAGGAGATAAAGTCCACAGTCACCTAAAGTTCCTTAACATTCCTGCAGCATTACAATGGCACAGTCACTTTCAAAACTCAGGATAGTTGGATTTGTGACTGCCCCTCAATTAGGGCAGGTGTTTCTTTTTTTCCAGGTAACCTCAGGTGGCATATGTCTTTCTGATCCACAGACACAAACCCCAGGAGGACTTTTTGCCTAATCACCCACCACTGAATTCTATTTTGATCTACCGATATGTAAGTTATTTCTTGAAAAAAACTAATTTCAACCTGTAGGTTTAAAAATATTTTTATTAGTGTATTGATTTTACAAAGTACTGGGTTTTGGTGTATTTTCAAACATGCATATAATATATTTTGATCACCCCCCCATACCCTCCCTCACACCTTTCTCTCTTTATTTCATTCTTGTCTAGTAAATCTCCCTTTTTCTTTTTGAGATTCCACGTGTTAGGAAAATACCTGATACTTGGTTTTCTGAGTCTGGTCTATTTTGCTTAACATGATGATGCTCGATTCTAACCATTTTTCCTGCAAATGACATCATTGCATTCTTCTTTATAGCTGAATAATACTTTGTTATTATATCCAGTTTCTTTATCTATTCATCTGCTGATGGGCACCTAGGCTGGTTTCACAGCTTGGCTGTTGTGAATTGTGCTGCAATAAACTTGGGTATACAGGTATCCCTGTAGTATGCTGACATACTAAAGAATGGTATAGCTGGGTCATATGCTAGTTTCATTTTAGTTTTTTGAGGAACTTGCATACCAATTTCCGTAGTGGGATGGAATCTCAATGCCAACTTGCAGTTTAAAAAACAACATCATGATTTTATGCTTTCTGGTCATTATCCTAGGGTTTAAAAAGTCTGCAGGCTTACCTGTGTGTACCAGGAGGCTCTAACAAACAGATGGAGGGGGGCAGCGAGGGGAAAAAAGAATGAAGATGTGTTATGTTCATCTACCAACTGTCCACAACGAATGTGATCTTTATGCACTGCAAACATATACTAATAAAAATTTCAAAAAGTTTTAAAAATGGGCAGGGGTTGCAGCTTAGCTGCAAGGCCCTGGGTTCAATCTTTAGTACCACTAAAAAAAGATAAAGAGAACACACAGCAACAAGGGAGCGTCGCCATTAATACTCAATTTCTACAGTTCAGTTCCTTTTGTCCCTAGAAGCTGTACGTTTGTCAATGCTTCTCTGCCTTGGTGACCCACGAGGGCAACAGGACTCCACTGTATTTAGTTCACGTGACCTGAGCGTAAACCCGACAGAGTCCCCCGGGGCATCCCAGGAGGTACGTCCCCAACGATACCCCCACAAAGATGGCCCCAGGCCGGCCGGAGAGGCAGCCATCTTGGTAGCGGCGGGACGGCGGCCCGGGAGGGTCTAACGCTGGCCGACCCGCCAAATGCAAAGGTCACAATGAGTGAGCTACCCGGGAAAGGAGCAGCGCACCTAAGTGCTGCCGAGGATTTCGCGCTGCGGGGGCGCCCCGGCGACAATTCCCCTTAAGGATGGTGAGGTGGCGGGCGGTAAGGCCCTGCCTCCACCTGCTGGCGCTCTCTGCGGAGCCTGAACGGCGGCGCCTGAGGCAGAGAAGCTGCGGCCCCGCCCGCTGCGCCG